TGCTCAATTTCATAATGTAATAACATTTGTGTAATAAGCAAAGAGCTTGAAACATTCATAAAAGCAACTCCATTGCCTGCTTACCTCATTGCTCAACCAAAACTGTTCAAAAATTCCAGATGAATGGGATAGGGGGCGCTTCGCGGCCCAGGTGCCCAGTAAAATCTAAACACTAGGACTAGGATTATTTTGTATTCTTTCTTTTCGTTTGTCACTCTGTATGTGACAATTTGCCTACCAATGTTTTTAAATAAACTTATTTCTTTGGAAAGTTCGTTTTTTGTGTTGTTGACTAACAGATATGATATTCTGCGACAATCTCGGATATCATGGTCATGGGCCAAGTTTTAGGCATAACCGGGATTCATTTTCTATCGTCCTGAATACCAAATTTGCATTAGCCGGGATTTAGCTGAGTCATTGTCAACTTCAAATGGAGAAGCTTAAGAATGGGGGCCGTTCCCGCCAGCCATTTTTGCAAAGTGAATCGTCAGCTTTAATCTCAAGTTTGTTATGGTGTACTTCAAGATGCTCTGGATTCGAAAAATAATAGAACATTTTCAAAATATGACGCTTCTAAGGAATGATTCTCCAGTTGATTAAACAGTAAGGATTTTTTTTAAGGAATTTTAGTCCGGAATTGAAGTCGGCACATCCAAATTTGATGGCTACTGCTAAAGATTACGAAGTTTTGTATCTAGTATGGAACGAGCAACGACACTCCTTTTGCCTTTAAGAATCTTTGAGTTATTATTGTTTCGTCATGGAATCTTCGAACCTGCATATAGATTTACTAAATTCGTCAAATTGGAGTACATGGAAAGAAAATATCAAAGTAATCCTCATGGACCGAGGAGTGTGGAGTTTTATCTCCAAAACTGAGCCTGCCCTACCTTCAGAAGCAAGTCGAAAAGAAAGTCAAGAATACCTCTAGAGACGGCGTACACGTCGATATTTCTTAGTGTGGAACCCGAATACCGAAGTCGGATCTCAGCGACTACTGATGGCGCTGAAGCTTGGGAAATTCTAAAGCAGCATTTTGAACCGACTAAGAGAGAAAGAGTTATTCAACTCCTAGACCAATTCTTCGACCTGAAATACACCCCAGGAGAAGAAATTAGAATATTTGCTGCAAGATTAAAGAACCTGGTTTCTCAGCTGAAAGAAGCCGGCACCCTGTTGACGACCTATACCAAGGATTCCAACTTATAAGATACTTACCCAAGGACTTTCAAGGTATTGTTCAAATTATTTATAGATAGGAGGACACTAAATTTAAATTTAAGAACATTTTAGACGAATTACTTTTGGAGGAAAGTAGACTTGAGCAACTAAATTTTGATTTAAGTTATGTTAGTGATATTGCTTATAATGTTAATTCAAGTTTTAATGAAAAGTTAAGTATAACTAATAAGTTTAAATCTGGTTCTTCTAATAGTAAGGGAAATTTAGAATATGCTAATAAAACATATCTATAAAGCGGGAACTTTCCCGTTCATGTAAGTACATTTGAATTCGCTTCTAGCTTTATAAATTATGTTTTATTCTGTTTTTTCTTTTTATTTTATTTTATTTTCTGCTTTTACGTGTTATTTTTACTTATTATGTTCTATTTTATTTGTTGTAATTTTTGTAAAAAAATTTTTTGAGTGCTCCTCACACTATTGTATTAATATATTTTGCTTTGGCTATATTGATACAATATCAGAAAGCACTCTTTTTTGCGGATATAATCGTGTGGGCTGATGAAA